AAAACGATAACTGTTTTTGCATTTAAACACAGAATACCGCCACGCACTACAATTTTGTTTTCCAAACGGACCTGTCATGAACAGATATCATAAAGAAGTTATGGTGCCTAGCTACACACTACACTGTACACACAATAACGAGTTAGAAGAAAGACAAGTGATTTTTATTGTGGAAAAATAAGCTAGCTTTAGAGAAATTAGGAAAAGGTTTTTGCATTCATTTGGTGACATTATGGTTTAGGTCACTGATTCAGTCATGATGACATCATCACATATGTCATCATGCCACAATTGTATTTTCCTATAAATAGGCTTCTTGTAAAGATCTGAAATAACAAGAAATATTCCTAGAGATATTCTATTAAATTGACTATTATAAGATTAGGGGTAGCCAAATTGTTCTACAAATAGTTAGAATGATAAAACGGAAAAGAGTGCAAAACATTTTCCAGAAGTTATCATGTCGTAAGTAGGAAAGTAACTTAGTCTGCTAGCAATCCAAGATGCCATAGCCTAATTTAAATTTAAAATACAACATACCTTGGTGCCGGGTATAACATCGTCAGGAATTGAAGATATGTAAGAGTATTCTATTGCTGTTACTTCATGGTGCCCATCAGTGAGCTTCAACCGTAAAAGACGTCGACTTTTTGAAATTCCTGAACTCTCGGTCATTTTGCTGCAAGATATATCTCGGACAGAAGAGATCTAAAAAAGTTGGCATACATTAGGAAAATAATAGATAAGCAGAAAATGTGTAACAAGTCATCAACGTGTATAGTATAGAACTGTATACCATGGAAAACATACTCCTTCGTTCCCAAAAGGATATCCCCAGTTTAAACTTGTGTGATTAAAATTTATATAAAGAGAGAAAAAAACTGTGAACCACATAAAACTATCCAAATATAAAAACATGCACGGATGCACATCTTCTTGGGACGGACCAAAAAGGGAAATGGACAAGTTCTTTTGGGACAGAGAGCACAATTACAACAACCCAGTGGAATCCCATGAAAGGGGTCTGGGGAGGGTAGATGTATGCAGACCTTACCCTACCTAGGAAGGTAGAGAGGCTGTTTCCAAAAAAATACCTTTTCACCGGTGCATCGGTACTGCTCTTCATGTGATCGAACCATCTTAATCTCAAGTCGTGCACCCTGTAATCCACAGGGGCCACTCCCACCTTATCACATATATACTCATTTCATATCCCACCCATCCTAGTATGCCGGCACATCCACCCTAGGATCCTCATCTTAGTCACCTTCACCCTTTGAACATGCAGGAACTGGTCAACATTATCATCATACATCAATTTCAATCAAAGTATCAAACCATCATCTTATAGAACTTAACATTTAGCATCAGTGACACTTGCTTGTTGCACAAGACCATAGAAGCAATCTTCTCACTACCCTGAATAAGTGATCCAAAGTACCTAAATGTATCCTTCTTGGGGATGGGTAGTGAATCAAGCTTCACTTCCACACTCGACTCGATGGAGACGTCACTGAATTTGCACATCATATATTCTGTCTAACTCTTACCTTCAATTTCAAGGATTGCCTCCAAACCTCCAACCTGACATTAACTCCACCTCTAGTTTCACCAACCAGCACTATATCATCCACAAACAACATAGACCAAGGTAACCTCTCTTGGATATGCCGTGTCCACTCATCCATCACCGTGGCAAATAAAAATGACTGAGAACAGAATCTTTGTGTAACCCCATCTCGACAATCAAGTGATCTAAGTGCCCTCCAAGCATCCTCCCTTGAGCCTTGGCGCCATTCATACATGTCCTAAATCACCCGAATGGCAGAATGTATGTCATAGGCACACTTCTATATCTAAGAAGCTCAATAATGCCTCACGAGGAACTCATTCATATGCCTTTTCAAGGTAAATAGATACCATGGGCATGTTTCTCTTTTTTGCCCTATAAAGCTCCATCAAACTCCTCACAAGGTGAATGGCTCCAATAGTCAAAGGTCCCGACATGAACCCAAGTTGATTCTCGGATATAGTCACCTTTTTCCTCATCCTCATCTCAGTCAGCCTCTCTCAAATCTTAACTGTATAACTTAGTAACTTCATACCCCTTGTGGTTGTACAGTGGAACCATGAGACTCAACCTCCATTCCTCTGACATGTTAGCCGTTTTAAAATGGCATTAATCAACCTTGTTAACCAGTTATTTCCTCACTTTCCTGCTTTGTCTATGCTCTTCCAAAACTCCACGAGTATTTCTTCTGGCCCTAACACTCTTTCTCTCCTCGTCTTACTAATGGCCAATTTCACTTCCTCTACCTTAAAACACCGGACAATAACCAAAATCTTGATGACTCATTGTGCCCTCCAGATCACCTGATACAAATTGCCCCCCACCTTCTCCATCCAATAGTCTATGGAAGCAATACTGCTAGTGACATCTAATCCCTAATTCCCTATATCTCCCATCAAACTCTACCATCCTCATTCTTAATCCACTTCACTTGGTCTAAATCGTGTGCCTACTGCTCCCTCGCCTTGGCCAACTTGAACAATCTTTGGTTCCCACGTTTCACCCCCAACACCTTTTACAGGAGTTCGAATGTTGCATTCTTCGCCACCATTACCTGATAAATTAGCTTCCTTCTTTGCCAACTCATACCCTTCCCCATTCTCCATATTCTCCTTCTCATTGCTACTTTCAATGAGTTTAAGGTAAACCACTTTCTTAGCTTCCACTTTCCTTTGGACCTCCTGATCCCAACATGAATCTCCTTTATGTCCGCCAGAGTGTCCCTTAGAAACCCCCAACACCTCCTGAGCGAGTATAATTCTTTTTCATAATTCCATATACCACATAGCATAAACTAGTATAAAAAGTAAGAAAGCCAGTCACAGAAAATCCCATGGGAGGTGATGAACTGATGAAAACTGCAACAGTTTAAGACCATTAACACCTAGTTTTTGTGAACCCTTATTTTATATCGCACTAAAACTAATAGCATATTTTCTACTATTAGCATTCAAATCATTTTTAATATGACTAAAGGGGTTCTAATTGTAATTGAAGCCAGATTGGAGTCTGATACCTTAAGAAGCAAGGAATAGTGAAACAATTTAAGTACAAATAGTAAAACATACTCCCTCCGTACTTCTGGTTCACTATTTATAGTCATGTCACATCTTATTTTGTAGAATTGTTGATGTAGTATTTAAATATAATAATTTTATTTTTTTATTCTAAGCCAATTTTCAAATAAATTGAATTGAAAATGATTTCTTTCAAACATTGTAAGCCACACCCAGAACTTCTTTTATGGATAAATGGAGTAACTTTTTTCCACATAACTCATATATTGGGCTTCGCCCAACTAATCCTGGGACCTATGAACCACCACTCACACTCATAGGTAGTTAAATTTGAGTTTGATTTTAGATGGTATACAAGGTGTATGCTCCAAATGGTGAACCTTGCCAAGGTAATCACATTGCCTCTGAGGAAAAGGCAGCCCCTCCGGAATTACATCACCTCTTAGAAAAATCTGCTCCTCCATAGAATCAAACTCACAATAATTCTTACAATCCTCTCCACTTACTACCACCGGAATACACCATGACAGGCTAGTAAAACATAGCTTTGTTTTCAAATGTAGTCGATTCACCCACATTTCAACCAAAGAATCCATTATCAAGAGCCAATTGCAAATTTGCAACACATTTCAGAATGATAAAGAATATATTAATTGTCGAACAATTACTAGCTATCATCTCTGATCTAAGCATCACATCACAACTTGGAAGTTTCTACAGTTTGGTCTAAATCTATGTCATCCATTTTGGTGGAAACATAGTCACCTATGAAAGTGATATGCAGAAAAGTTTGGCCCAGACACTTAAGAAACTTGTAAAAGCAACTGAGAATCCCAAATTCCAACATCAATTCGGAGTTCAAATTAATCATAAATTAAAGGTTTGTTAAGGTCAGATAAATAACTACATACATTATCAAGATATCGATCACTTCAGTGATAATAAACAAATGACCTTAACTACTTCCATACAATAAAATAACACACAGCTTAAGAGAAAACGAAGTACTTGAAGGACTTTAGGACCCTGAAGATGAGAAACTTTTCGAATAGACGAAGGGTCAGGTAACGCTTTGCCGCCTATAGATCGCAAGTCCAATTTGATAAGCTCTGATTCGACTGAATCAATGGTGACCGAGCAAGATTCAGCTGAAATCAGTAACTTGACTTGATCGATATCGTTGAAACACCAGCCTCTGGATGCTAGTGTTGGAAGAACAGCCTCCAAAGTTGCGGACGACGAACAAGTCTCCATTTTTAGGAGGTTTAGGCCTGTGAAGGAACAATTCCGCGATTTAAGTTTTCAAAAAAACAAACAAAATTTACTATTGCATCCATATTTTCTGTTAGTAACTTTTTCCAAAATAAATAAATAAATGCTTTAAAAATATTTGGTCATTTCAAAAAAGAAGATCCGCGATTTTAAAAAATCCATGAAATGAGGAGAAAAAAATACTCATTTCGCATGATTCTTTATTTTACATATACATTCTTCATTATTTTAGTTAAAATATTTATTGTGTTACTAGTAAATATATATTTTGTATGAATGCAATGAGCATTATGTATTATTTAAAAAGCATACATACATTCTATAATGTTCAAATTTTGAATAAATAGTAAAATACAAAAATATATAAAATGAGAATTTTGTTATTCAAAAATGGAAATCAACATGAATGCACGAGAAACACCGTACATGTGGATGTACGATATAAACACTCTTCAAAATGATAGTTTTTGGTGTTAATGCCTTCAAGGCCCAAAAGCCCAACACTGACTTTTGGACTTGACTCGGGTATGAGAGGGGTGATAAAAATAGCGCAATTAAAATAGGGAGAGGTATAATGTCAATGGGTGTATATATTTTATTATATTACTTAGGCGTAGGGTGCGAGGTATGTGGTCCTTACTGTCGTTGGTCTAGTTGTGGGATGCATTAATACTTTGACTCAAGCCAGCTTCTGGATATAAGTCGACACATCTTGGACTGGGTCCCTGCTCGGGAGGTTCATGAGTTTTGATAGCATGTGTGTCTCGGCGTTCTCGGTCCTTGCTATCTACTTTATAGAGGCATCTTCGAAGCCTTCAAGTTATTTGATCACCATAATCCATGTATTCCTTCATTCAGCCCTCCCGTGCCTCAGCCCCCTCATTAACCTTGTTGACCACCGGCTGGTTGTTGCTGTGCACGCGGAGCATGGTCATCTTCAGACCTTGGGGAGTATGGTCTCAATTTTTGAAATCATTTTATTTACAAATCCGTATATCAATAAGAAATAAAAATTACATATTAAAAAACTACGTCAGAAGTTCTATAAAACAAGAGGTGGCAGGAATATTTTATTTTATCAAATATTTAATGAAATTGTGTAAACAAAAAAAAGTTATCAAAAGGAGAAAAAAATTGTAATCAAATTGGTGACGGAGGGAGTATTTAAAAAAAGAAGTAAAGCCCCAATTTGAACCCTGATATTTCCAGTGAAAACCTGTATAAGTTAAAAGAGTTTTAAAGCTAATGTAGTAGAAAAAAGATTTGATGTCTGAATTTGAAGCCTCCAAGGCTCCAATATCAAGGCCTTGTTTGGAAATATCGTTTTCGATTAGCTTTAGCGTTTTAGATAAAATTTTAATGATGTAGATTAATTTCGAAAATGGTAACGCTAAAGGCTACCGTCGGATACCATTTTCAAAACTCTAACGCTAATGTCTGACGCTGATGTCAAACGGAGACCAAACCAATTTTCAGTGCTCTCTGCTAACATGCGTGTGGGAGAACAAAAACTTAAATGACAATGACGGCATTGGTGGGGTGGGGGGG